TACATAATACATTGGGCGCGTTTAGCCGACGCAACAGTTGATCAAAACCGAAAACATGTTCCTGATATGGTGGAAGTCAACAATGGGCCAATTCACATGTGAGCTATGCTGTTTTATAAATTATATTGTAACAGTTAGTCGCTATACAAGTTATTCTACATAATCAGTTTGTTAAAAAAGCCAAAAGTTTTTAAATTAAAACCAATTTAAATTTAAAATTTGAAATGTGTACATCATCGGGAATAGACCAATCAGCTTGCGTAGAAGTTTTTTTTGTTATACAGAACCAAGCCAACAAACCGACACACAGAATGTCAAAGTGAACGCACATCTATACTTTTTTCTCATTTCTAGATTTAGTTCTTCTGTCTTTGCTAATTTGTTTAATTTTATTATTAATATGAGTTTGTCAGCTGGATTTATAAAAGTTGATACGAGTATTTTACCCATTGTACACCAAGATATAATAACCGAGATGATTACTGCATTTTTTAACAATACTCAGTTTGTAAAAGACACAAAGGTATGTAAGACTTGTTTTAATAGTAGTTACAGTTTATATGGAGCAATACACCTTATAGTAAAAACATATTTATCTCAAGTCATTAGGGTTGTCGAACAGTAACAGTTTTTCAAAAATAAACATTTTACCTTTTCCCTTTACTTCATTTATATTTATAAGAAAAATATATTTTTCGACGTTTAAAGCTGTGCTGTTGGTATTATTTCTTTAATTAGAAGTAAAAGTATAATTATGTTTTACCTGAGAAATAGCAAATTTGTTATTGTATAAAACGAGTTCATACAATTTGCCTCCCTCAAAAATTAAAACTAAATAACATTTAAAACTAGAAGGATAGTGCACATGTATTTACTGTAATACTATTTTTATTTGGTCGAGGATTACCTACTTGTTATATGTCTTGTAAATAATTGTAATATAAGTACATTTTTGTGAATGAATGACTACTTTTTGTAAATATACAAACTCTTTCCGTTACAACTATTATTTATATGTCAAGTATTTACATGAATAAATCTACTATAATATTTTATGATATAATTTGGAACATAGAAAAGTAATAAAAATTGAAAAAAATGGACATCCATAGAAATGTACTCTTGAAAATACTAAAAAAATCATCACATTATTAAATATTTTATTATTTTTTGATCTGCCAAGCAAGTATATGGAGATAATGCGATTTCCCATGAATAACTTGAAAAGAGGAGATATTTGCCCAGTAAACGGAATAATTACACATGAACATAAAGTATTTTGCATTGTTTCTTCCACATTTGAAGTAAATAATGAAGTCAATAACAAGCTGAATTTGATAATGAATCTTTAGATGACATTTTAATTCGACATCTCCATTATTGTTAGGGCTTGTGTATATATTTTTTATTACTAGATCAAAAGAACTTACCTGAAGTTCGATCGTAATTATATGAAGCGTCCAGTCCGAAGATATCACTTGAATAATTTGTAGTACGTGCTCCCAGGTACTCTCGCGCACAAGTTTTAAAGACGAAGAACTGCCTTTCCCCTACCCCTGCATTACCTACTATACCATCTCTAGAACTTCATTGTTTGAAAGACGGCTGTGTTTTGCTGGTAATTAGGGCTGGGTCCTAGTCACGGGTTGGGTAAGTGATATCTTCGAACTGGACGCTTCATATAATTACGATCGAACTTCAGGTAAGTTCTTTTGATCTAGTAATTATATTTCAGTGTCCAGTCCTCGATATCACTTGAATAATTTGTAGATGTTAAAAGATAAAAAGTGCAAAACATCAGCTTTTAATAAGAATATTAAATAACAGAACACAAAACAACTTAAACTATGTATCAAATACTGCCTCCATCAGATGTGTATCATGAATAAGAGGTATATTATAAAATTTAGAAAAAACTAAAGATCCAGAAAAAACTAAAGATCCTTCGGACCATCCCGCGCATTTCCGGAAGTCCTTTTCTTAACGCAGCCGATGTAGATGCATGCCTTGTAGAGTGTGCCTTAAAGTAGGAAGAATCCACCCCAGCTTTTTTCATAGTCTCTTTCACCCACTGACTGAGCGTCTGTTTTGATGCAGGTCTATACGGTTTGGTGGAAGTAATGAAGAAAAGGTCACTTTGCGGATCCCTTAAACCCTCAGTCGCTGTAAGATATTCCTTAATAGCGCCTGCCACGCAAAGTCGTGGATTTTTGGTAAAATAAGGAAAATCCAAGCAAGGTTGCGCCCTATTCGGTCCGGAGGTCTTTATCGGGTCAGGTATAAAGATTCGAATCCCTGTTTCAGTTTGGTTAATGTTACTACATTTGATCAGCGACAGCGTTTGAAGCCTCTGTCCTGTAGCAAGGGCCATCATAGTAACTAATCTTGAAGAAATCGTTTTTAAGTCGGTATTCGGTAAGGATTCGAGGTATTTCAATACCAGCTTTGGATCCCATGTAACATCATATTTAGGTTTTGGTGGTCTTTGCTTGTAAATGCCTCTCATAAAGCGCTTTAAGAGTGGATTTTGATCTATGTTTTGGGATACAATTAAGGAAATGGCTGCCCGATGCGAATTGAAGGATCCGTAAACGTTACATGTCGTTTCTAACAAATATTGGAAACAATTTAGGACATCACTAATGTTTCCTTCAAAGAGACTAATCTTTCTGTCAGTACAGAATCGCCACCACAGCCTTAGGGAAGTGTTGTATTGTTTGAGTGTTGTAGGCGTTAGAAATTTTAGAGTCGTGTCTACGGCACATTCTGGGACACACCGAGTTAAGAACGCTTGGCTGATAATCTGCAGGCAATCAGGATAAGGTTCTTTGAAAGTGGGTGTTCCTTGCCGCTGAAAGGAGAAAACAGAAGATCATTGGCCGGGCCTAGTAAAATGGGGTCACCATCCATTAGTTTCATGAAAAGTGGATACCATGGTTGTCCTTTCCAATATGGAACAATAACTATTCCAGATGCTTTATCGTTAAGTATTTTTTGTAATACCCTAGTAATAAGGCAAAAGGGGGGAAAGGCGTAAAATTTAAGGTTATCCCAGTTTATGGTGAAAGCGTCCACTTTCCAAGAACCATTGTCTCTAAACCAAGAGATATACTTTAAGCATTTTGTATTATATGATGATGCATACAAATCAACCTCTGGAATTCCAAGCTTCTCTATTATTTGGTTAAAATAAATATTACCTAAGCCCCATTCGGTTTCGGGAGGTAAGATACGTCAGGCTTGATCTGCTTGAATGTTTTCTGAGGATCTTATGTAAGAAGCAAATAACCAAATATCTTTGCCTTGGCACAATTCCCAAATTTGCCTAGCTAATTCACTCAATTTAGGGAATTGAATACCTCCCATTTTATTAATATATGCCAAAGCTGTAGTATTATCCTTTCTCAGAAGAATATTACAGTGGCGTAAATTATTAGCAAAATATTGTAAACCATTAAATATAGCCTGAAGTTCCAGAAAGTTAATATGATTTTTTTGTAAACGCTTTGTCCACCAACCATTTGTACTTTTACCCTTACCAAAGGCTCCCCAGTCGGTTAAACTGGCATCTGTGTAAATTTCAACATCAAACTTATCATTTCTAATATTATTAACTGCAGTGTTAATATTTAGGTACCACCAATCTAAACCAGGTATAACGTTATCTGGCAATTATATTTTTTGATCATAGTTATCATTTTCGAGTAATGCCAGATACTTGGCTCGCTCTAAACGTTTTGTGTATATCCAGCCGTATTTCACGGCAGGACAAGCAGAAGTTAGTAAACCTATAAAGCGAGCCAAGTCTAAAATTTTGCATTCACTTTTTGAGCGCAGAGAAGAGGCAAAATCCAAAATACGTTTTCGTTTTTCGGTTGTTAATTCTAATGTCATATTTTCCGTATTAAAAATAAATCCCAAAAATTTACAGATCCGGCTAGGGATTAAGACAGATTTTTCCTCGTTGATTATAAAGCCAAGTTTTTGTAACAAATGCTTTGTAAATTGAACATTTTGGGAACATTCTAAAGCTGATGAGCCCAAAATTAAAAAATCATCTAGATAGTTCACGCATAATATACCTGAACTTCTTAATATCTAAATTATCGGTTTCATGAGCTTGGTGAAAGTGTAAGGGGCTGACGAAAGCCCAAACGGAAGACATGTATATTCAAAAAGGGTGTCTTCAAAATTAAAACGTAAAAATTTACGAAAGTTTTGATCAACAGAAATTAAGTAATAAGCGTCGGTTAGATCAATGGTCGCTGCAAAGAAATTTCTCTGAATAAGTCTGCTTGCCGTTCTAACATCCTCCATTTTAAAATGGGGAGCTTTGATAAAACTGTTTAAATTTTTCAAATTTAATATACAACGTTTTTTACCGTTAGAAAAATCTTAGAAATGAAGTGATTTTTAACTGGGCTACATAAATTAATGGCTCCTATTTTAATGAGTTTGTAAATTTCACTTTTTACTTGATTTTTTTCCTGCGAGGAAAAATTAGTAGGTATTGGTGGACAAGCCTGAAATGGTTTCTCAGTGAAGGGTAATGTGTAACCCTTAACCCATTTCAAAACAACGTCGTTAGTCGTAATATTACTCCATTCGTGGAGAAAAAACTTAAACGACCTGCATATGAATTACTTATCGTTTCTAATTGTCCTTCCTGCGGTTTTGGCTCATCCTGTCTCGTTTGTTTTGACTGTGCCAATGGGCTGATCTGGAGAATTGCCCTTTGAGAGGCCTCGTCTCTCCCGTTCGACGGGCCGGGCGATAATAGTTTAAATCTCTGGGACTTTTTGGTGTCATTGAAGGCACTCGCCCCTCCCCTTTTCTTTTTGAAAAATTAGGAACAGTAGAAGAAGGCTTCAGGTCCTTACCTATACTTTCCAGAGCTTTAGCCATCTTAATTTTGTCTCCTAAGTCAGAACCAAATAATAGTTCTGAGGGAGAATTTTTATCCACCTGTTCTTTAATATTTTTATTAAGTAGCGGGTAGATCATATTTCTTCGAGAAATAGATACCTTGTGAAAGAGATTAGAAAATATCTTTCCTGATCAGAGATATGCATCAGCAGTGCTTCTTTACTATCCTTGGGAATTTCATGTTTATCTTCTAATAATAAGGTAATTCCTTTGCCGAGCGCGCAAAGTCCGTTTCCCAGATGATTTTGGATCTCTACGAGAGAACCATCTTTTGATAGGTTATCCTTAGGCATAACCGTGAAAATCTCCGGATTCAGTCGCGGAGCAATTAATTCCTGTAGGTTTGATGATGCTTCGTAATTTTCGAGGAGAGGCACCAGTTCCTCTTTCTTGATCCCATTTAATAGGAAATGTCGCCATCTAGGAGTTATTGCTTCGTGCAAAACCAATTTATTTTTATGTTCTTTCTCGGGATTCTCTCCTAATAGATTTAACAAATCATCATCCTGTAGAATTAGACTTTCATCATTTTGATTATCTTTAAAATTATTACGAACGCTACGAGCATTCGATAAAATCGAGAAAGAACTCTGCTCAGAATTAACTGGACTTAACTCTCGGGCCTGTACGACAGACCCCGCAACTCCCCGCCCTGTATTCGAAGCCGCTTGACTGCGAGCCAAGGAATCTCGTGAACAGTGCCTCTGTCTCGGAGAGCGCGATGGAGATTTTTGCCGGCGATCGACGCAGGGACTTCGAGTCCGAGATGTGGCCTGTTGGCATTTCAGTTGTTTTTCTAACTTTTTAATTCGTTTTAACAAATAATAAGAGTCTGTAGAACTTGATGATGAGCTTCTCTTTCTCTTATGTTTTTTAGATTTTCCCATACTAAAAAGAATGCTGTAAAAGGAATGCGTTAATATATTAAAATTACTTACGTATTTCGTCTCAGAGCGGCCACAAGCTACGATACGTACGCGATGAGCACAAGAAACACAATGAAGTTCTAGAGATGGTATAGTAGGTAATGCAGGGGTAGGGGAAAGGCAGTTCTTCGTCTTTAAAACTTGTGCGCGAGAGTACATGGGAGCACGTACTACAAATTATTCTAGTGATATCGAGGACTAGACGCTGAAATTTAATTATTTGTAAATAAAGTGTTTTTTACTTCGTTTATCTTATTCAGTTATTTTTAGTTTTTAATAATAGGTTAATAAATAAAATTTTCACAGATTTTACATTTTTGTTCATATATAATTATTATAATCTCTAAAATGTGATAAATAAATCAAAAAAAAAAAAAAAAAAAAACAAACAGTTTATTAAATTATTTGGTATTTAGTCTTATGCAGCAATCCCTTCTCAGGCTGCTTCAATGTCGGATGGCTTTCTTTTTAAACAAATAAATCAGATTTATTCATATTTATTAAGAAACGGCTATTACAACAAAAATACAAGTTTTACAGTACATGACATGACAAGTGACCACAACCATTGCCAACTCACCAGTGCTACCAAACTATAATACAAATAAAACTAGCCTGAATGACAAATAGTTAGGCAACACAATATACATTTCAGTAAATATGGTCATAATAAACAAAAATCTCTCACTTACAAAATGAGTTCTTTTAAATTAAAAATACCACTAATTCACACAGAAATGTAGAAGGTTTATGTAAGCTACACTTTTCTTTTCATAAATATTAAGGATTTTAAAAACACTGTTGGGAATCCTAAATATACCTTGGGTTTATTTTCAATTTTGAGAGTTCATTGGTTTTGAAGATCCTGCTCATTATTAAGTCCCTTTGATAATAAAGATGTTTCTTCCGATTCAGATAAAATTTCACTATCTTTAAAACTTTCAGGTTTTGAGGCAGGTTCTTGCAGAAGGGGTTTTAGGATATACACCTTCGAACTTATAGTAGGCTCATTTTAAATTAAGGGAGCAATGTCAGAAATCGCTGCCGCATCTTGAAGATCCGGTATATGTTTATTAAATAGAGATGAAAAATGCCTCTAGTAGAAGGTTATTTTCCAGTCAACATTTGTTTTGTTTCCTGTTTTTCTTTTTTTTGGTAGAATCAGTGAGCTGGCTCTTGTGTGGTGAATAACAAGAACTGTGGAGACATTTGTGTGGTACTACCCACTTCTTATATGTAAAGGTTTATCCATCATTTAAAAAATAAACAGTTTTTAAAATCATCTGGTATCTAAAAAAAAAAGAAAAAAACATCGTTACTACAATGGTAAATAATTGAATAATTAAATTACAATAAAACATTTTTATTTTAATAAATAGTATAGATACAAACCTCAACAAAATAATATAGCTGTTCCTTGAAGCGTTTCTGTGTAATGATAATAATTTTTGTCTTTTCATATTTCTAGCAACACTAATAAATATTTTTAATAATGAATGTAAAATGTAAATCATTATTACATCTTAGGAGGAAACATTTTTTTCATACTCATAATATTTATAAAAACATCAAACGCATAATTATCGATTGACAACACAAATATCTCTGATCAACAGATGACACATGCAGTGCTGCCGCATTTCCATTTTCTTGTTTATTAGTTGTCGTTTTTTAAAACAATGAAACTATAAATATGGTGAAAGTTTAAACATAAATAATACTTTTAAAAACATTTGATATTTTATATTTAAAAGATATTTGTTTAACGATATTTTAAAAGTCTAAAAGTAAGACGGTGCACACAAACGAACATATATTACTTTTCGCATACCGTCTAACTGGCAACGTTGTGTGGCTAGTTCCTATTGGTCTATTCCCGGTGACGTCATAAATTTTAAAAAATTAATAACTGGGGCAAATTAATAGATAAAAAAAATTAAATGTAGCTTTATTTTGAACTCTATCATTCATAAAAAAAAATTTAAAAATTTTTGAACATGCCCCATTAAAAGTACCTGAACGGTATAAGTTAGTTCAGCGGTTAGACAATACATATACACGTGGTGACCTCTAGTGATGATATAAATAAAATAATTTTCGGTTACAAATTAAGATCATCTAAAAATATACTAAGTCATAATCAGTCATAATGGATATTATTCATCAAGGTTAAACTTTAGAATTTTAAAAACAACAAATATCATGTTCAAAGTAAAGAAATGTGCGGTTATAATCACATATAATCAGCTTTATCCTCCTAGAGTGGTTAAAAAATCAATAAAAAAAAACCACTAGAAATCTCTAAATTAAAAATTCCTTTAGTTTGAAACACTAAGTATAATACTTCGTTTACAAAAGTCACCATGGAATTTTTCTGGTGCCGATGTTGAACAACTGTTAAAACTAACCAAAACTCAACAAGCGACGTTCAGAAGACCCAACAAGTCACCATACTCAACTGTTGCATCGGCTGAACGCGCCCATTACTATTCAATTACCGTTTATGTGCTAATGTCGTTTGTTGCAGAATTTTACATAATATTGACGTATTATATCTTGATTTATTTGTAAAATTAGTGTTTACAATAAAAATAATTGCAAATTGAGGGGGTTGTGATTGACAATCTGTGTTATTTTTAACAAGTCTGTTATTTTAAAAACACACATGAATAACAACCTGTTCACAAATAACGTATGTGTTAAAAATAACATTATTTGTCTATCATAACCCCGATAAATTGCCAAACCTTAAATGAAGATAATTACCTTCTACAATTTATATACAAATATCAGGCTTTCCATTACTTAGTAAACTTTCAAACTTTTTACTCATCTCAATTAAAATATGGATCGAACGGGCTAAAGAACAAGGAATATTTTGTATGCATGGGCATGCACTCAGGATATGAGATTTCTGAATGCACTTGGCATGATCAACATTTGTAAAAAAAGTGTTACATAAATTAACAATATTTTTAACATTTGTTTTATACCTCTATTTTTTTTTCACTGCCACTGTTTTGCAAGGATATATAGAGCTAGTTTTATGTATTTTTTCTTTGTTTCTGCAAGATATTTAGAGGTATCTTTATTTATAATTTTATTTTGAAAGTATTTTTCTTTGCTTCTTTAATAAAAGCCTTGTTAATTTAGTTCTATATTTTATAAATCTATTATTTCATTACAAATTTGCAGTTATTAATTTAAAGTTCCCCTTTTTAATTTTTGATAGATTCCATGAGCCCATAATACATAATATTCTTTATGTTTTATCTTTATTGTACTAGTATTGTTCTGGACTAATTTTATTTTAATATCTACCTATACACCTTTTTGAGATTCTTTAGGAAAATTCAACTTTAAAAAATGGTTTATGATAAACAATAATTTATTATTTTTAAAGAATATAGCTATATTTTTACTTTCCTGTATTAACTAAGAAAAGTATAAGAATTCTGATTTTTTTTCGACCTCGAGTTTTCGATTGATCTTTGTTTTTGGGGTCACTTGAATTCATTATTCCCATTTTTGCAATGATGTATGTGTGTCTGTATCCACAATAACTTAAAAGTGGATAAAGAGAACTTAGGATTTAATCCATCTTGTGGAGTGCTGACTAGATTTTGAGCATAGTCTGATCATCAGAGATACTTTATAGTGGTAATTTTTCTACATTAAAAAAAAATTCTTTCAATAAAAGTTGTTTGTGATGTCATTTGCTATAATTTTTTTGTTATATGGTTTCTCTAAAATAGACTAATAAATAAATAAATATGAAAAAAGGGCAAAATTTAAATTGGAAATGAAAATATCTTTTAATTCATATTCTGAACACTTTTTGATTAGATGGGCCGTACTCAATAGTTTTGATAAATACAACAATAGGTTTGATGTCAGGCTTTATAGAACATTTATACAATAAGCCTCTAAAATCAGTACCTACTTATTTTGTTAACGTTAAGTTGCCAAATCGTCGAAAGTAAAAACCAAACCGACTGTTTATCAGAGAAGTCAATAGGACTGGGATTATAGATGATTACTAATAATTTTAATCAAGCAAAATCATGGACTAGAATCTGCAGGGCTATATTTACATTACATTAATCTTTTCCGAATGTGCTAACTTAGCATTATTATTATTATTATCTTTACTTACCTTTTGTTCTAAACCTAGAAGGTTAAGATAAATATAAACCTTCAGTTATCTTTGTTTCCTTCTATTATTATTTCATTACAAATCTGGAATATGAGCTAACTAAATAAATCTATGAAATTAAGTTGTTATCTTTATCATAAGTAAAACAAAAAAGATAAAATAAGTACCCGAGATAAAATTTGGAATATTCAGCTGAGGCTGAGATGCATTGCAAACTAAACTCCTCATAAGCTACTTGTTAAATAATAAAATTATAAACTTAGTATTGAACAAAATTTAAAATTATTCATTTTAAAAAAATTGAGCATTAGTATTTGAATTATCTTTTAATATGTATATAAGTTGGGACTTTTCTACTACTGTGACAGGTATATTTTAAAAAACCAGTACATTAAGCAATTTTAAAATCACCATAGATTGTAAATGACTAGGAGATCAACAGTGATTTATTTGTAATTTTTGTAAATAAGAATAAGATACAAATTAATATTAAAATTACATTAAACCCAATATTTCGTATTTGTAAATAGGGCATTTAGTTTAATACAGCTTACTTACATAAGGAGTTTGTTATGTGTTAACAATAAGAAAACAAGATATCTAAGAGCTAGAAACTATCTATGTTATTGTGTATTATTAGTGAAGGTTGTTTTATTCTTCCATTTTCTTTTCTTAAAAAAATTTAATTTAATTCCACAATTTAATTCGAGTTCTATATCGTTTATACTATACCCATTAGTAAACCTCTCCCAAAATAAGCCAAAAGTTTAAATTGATAACTAGAAAACTAACCTAAAACCAACTGTCATATCGAGGAGAAAACGTCGAATTCCATAACGTCACGTCCATGATTTTTGACGTCACGGCGTTTAAATTAATGAGCACTTGCCAGGCAATATGGTTCCTCGCAAACGACTCGCTTTAAGCAATCTACATAACTATATGTATCATTGACCCTGTCCATGACAACAGGCCCACATGTTTGCCAGATCTAAACGTTTCT